TGTCACTTATTTCACTCTACTCTTGTTCCACTTAAGCCGATTCAACAATTTATAATCCCCACCTCCACTCGGTGCGTCTCTCTGCAATAATCAATCAATAGTAATCCAAGCTTTCTTCTGCTGACTCTCACCGAACTCTCATCATCCCAACATTAAGACATCTCATTCCATCATTTTGGATACGAACCACACTTCAATGCAAAGCAAAACCACCCCATGGACTTGATGCAATAAATTATTACTATAGCTAAAAAAATCGCAACCACCTCTCCATCAATAGGAAAATAAAGAGCATTACAAAGCATAAAATTATTTCAATGGCAAAAAAAAAAAAAAAATAGTCTATTGAATATGGTAAAGCTTTTGAGAAAAAGCAAATACATATTGCGGTATTTATCATAGAAAACATTATGATAACATGGTAACATCTATTATTTGAAATGTTGACAAATAAAAGAGCATTAATGAAAAGAAAAAAAATTAAAAATACTCATATCAAAGAATAATTGAGAAATCTAATTTATGGTAATAGGAAAATCAAGCTTAGAATTCATTGAATTCAAATTGAAATGGCAATGGAAAATTTATTGAATAGAATCACATCAATTTCAAAATCCACCAACGTGCTTCGATTTATTTTTGTTAAAAATGCTTCATTATATAGTTAGCAACTTTATCTTATCTAATTAAGGTATGATTTATCTATCCTTGTGTGGTTGGTTCTTGTTATTGCCTTTAAAATGCATAATGCTAACCTGATCATCAACAAGAACACTAGCAATTTTATTTAATATCCATAACAGCACAATAACAATGAACAAAGAAAGTGTCTAAAATATTTAATCATGTTTGATCTATTACAGGAAAATAAATGCCTTTGAGCACAATGTGGTAAGTAAATATTATAAAAATTTAAACAAATGCTTCTTTCCTAAATGGTATTCCGATCAACCATGTTGCATGGATTCAAGAGTTTTTCAGCGGAAAGGTTAGGGATGAAAAAAGTTCAATGTGACAAAAATGGGAACACTAAGTTGGATATAATATGGTAGAAACAAGGAGAACAGCATGAAAAATGATTAAACTTAAATAAATGAAAAATAACACTTATTGAGGAGAAGACCAGATTTAATGCATTAGGATAATATAAGTAAAGAAAAAGATATGCCAATAACCTAAATAATAACATGACTATAAAACTAATACGAAGGCAATAGACTACACTATATATCGTGGGTAAAACTAATACAAAAAGCAAACTTAGTACAACGCCATCCACAATATTTCATAAAACCAACAAAAAAAAAGTTGCAAGCCCTGCATAACAGTTGCAAGAAAGCTAAGGAAGGTTTTCAAGACCTAGGAGTTTCCGAGATAAAAAAATTCGATACTAGTGTCCAGCATGATGGATCCATATGCAAATGTCAAATAACATTGACAAGTTGATCAAAATATTCATGTCATAGAGAAGTCAAACTAAAATCTTAGGTAAAACAGGGAAATAAGACTTTATGGGGCTGCCTGGTATCGGATTTCAGAGAGGATTTAAGTAAGATTTAGCTTACATCCTCCTAGACGGTTATATTGGACAACTTATAACTCAAGATTTACTAAATTCATATTTTGCTGATTTTGAAGGCAAATCTCAGATTTAGTAAATCCTACTATTCGGTTGATTTAGTAAATCCGAGAACGCATGCATGAAGAGCAAGTTAGTAAGGAGGTAGCCAAAGAGCAGCAGGGGGTGAGAAGAAGGGGGAGAAAGAGCGCAATTACCTTCCTCTATGGCTTCAGGCAGGATCAGCGCAAAATTAGAAATATGGGATTTTCGGTGGTCTTTGTATGCCATGATCCCGTCTTTGTCACTCCAACTAGCTCTAACTACGACTATATTGCAAGACTTTGGATGAAGAGAGAAGAAGGGGAAGGGGAAGGGGAAGGGGAAGGGGAAATAAGAAAGAGTTTCGGGCGAGTGGAAAAAAAAAACGATAGGGTTTGGTATTTATTAATTTTAATTAATTTAATTAATTACAAATTAATAACTAAATAATATATTATCTATGATAACTACTTTAAAATAAATTAATAAAATTAAATTATATATAAAAAACTAATTGATTTAATGGCATTCTAAGTCATTACGAATTAATATAATAAATAACTAACTTACCAAAATTCTTATTAATGATCCATTAGCTTAGTGAATAACTAAATATTGATCAGCATAATTAAAGATAAAAATTTAATTTAATTTAACTGAATAATTATATCATTGATATGTAATATTAAATTTATATTTCGTTTTCAACTAAATTATTTAAATCTTTAAATTAAATAACATAAATATAGTTAATAATTTCACCTTATGAGTAATTATCTTAAAAATATACTTAATAAACAATTTATGAGCTAATATGCTATTAATTATTAAATATTAAAATTTAGAGTAAATTTTTAAAAATTTTAATATTTTCATAGGCTAGAATATAATTAATTTCTATCATGATAATGAAATAATCAAATTGTAATTTTATTTATGCATTTTAACAAACATTATATACTTTTAAATCTTGGTAGAAGTTGCTAAACGATTTTATAGAATTTAATTGGATTTAGTAAATCCAATGCCAAATATGCTTAGGATCTAACCATTTCAAGATTTACAAAATTCAAATATACAGGATTTAGTATATACTAATAACTTAAATCTCAGAAGTTGACATAGAACCCATAGAAGGATGAAAATAAAAATAATTTAAACTTTTAGCAACAAAGTAATTTCCAACATTCGTATAAATATAGGGATTGTCTGGTAACTGATTGAGAGCAGGATTTAACCTAAACCTTGCTAGACGGTCAATTTGGACAAAATAAAGTTATGTATTAATTTTCATAGGCTGAAAGTAATTAATTTCTATCATAATAATGAAATAATCAAATTTTAATTTTATTTATGCATTCCAACAAACATAATAGACTTTTAAATCTTGGCAAAAGTTGTTAGACAGTTTTACAAAATTTAATTGGATTTAATAAATCCAATGTCAAACAGTTCCTAGGATTTAACCATTTCAACTTTTACAAAACACAAATTTAAAGGATTTAACACTTAAATCTCATAAATCGTCATAAAACCCGTAAAAGGATCAAATAAAAATAATTTAAATTTTTAGCAACAAACTAATGTCCAACATTCGTATAAATAAAGGGGCTGTCTGGTAACGAATTTAGAGCAGAATTTAACCTAGAATTAACCTAAACCTTGTTAGATGGTCAATTTAGACAAAATAAAGCCATGGATTTGATAGGTAAATCCCGGATTTACTAAATCCTATGCATCAACGAATTTAGTAAATCTGGGATGGGCATTTTGCAAGGAAAGGAAGATGTGAAGTTACATTCATGGTTTCGAGTCAAAGCAAAGCAGAAGGAAAAAGATGGGAGTTTCAGGTTTCTATACATTGCAATCTCATCGTTGCCTTCCCAGTTAAGTCCAATCGCAAATGTATCACGAGGATTTGATCACAAAGGCAGTGGTTTTGCGTGAAACCGGGAGGGAGAGGGGGGAGGGGCATAAGTGAGGTTTTGGGTAGAGAGGGAAAGTTTGGGAGAAACATGGATAGGAGGAGGATATAGGAGAGGGTTTCAAGCAGAGCTATGAAGTACGGACACAGAAAAGAGCACACGTACACAACATGATACGGGGACACTACATAATTGAAAAAAAACAAGACACAACACGTCATGAACACATTTTTATATTTCATTAATTATTCATATGAAATATATATTTTTTCATTATTCTTTATTAAAAGCATCACAACACAAATTATACAAGAATAAAATTTAACTTCATAAATTTAATTTATATTATAAAACCTAATGCTTATGAAAATTATATTTTAAAATTAAATATATTATGTTTCAAAAGAATTCATTCAACTTATAATCCAACTTATCTACTAAAATTTAAAAATCATATGATTACAAAGAGGGAATTATTAATGCTCAGATTTGATGAATATTTGACGCATTGTCCATGCTCGATTTTGATGAATGTTAGAGGGAACTTCAACAAGATGAGAGACGGAGCGTTTCAAATATGACGTATAATTAAGGCTATACATATATTTATAATTTTCTAATTCTCGTGTCCCATTTTCTCAAAATTGTATTAAGCTCACATCTAATGCGCTGTTGAGGTGTGACCGGGGCGTGTTTAGGCCTAAAAAAATTCAAAAATATTTTATGTAGTGTCAGAGAAGCGTTCCTGGCGTGTATGATAGTGTCGATGTCTGACATGAGTACAACACATTTTTAGGTGTGTCAATATTACATAGGAGCAAAGAGAGGAAGGAAAGAGTTCTTTTGTTTTAATTTATTTTTTATTTAAGTTAGTTTTATAAATGTTAGAAATTAATAACTAATAATTATTCCATATATTACAGATTTAATTACAATTAGATAAATTTATATGTAATTATTTAATAGTTAAGTATTGAATAAAAATATATTCTAAAATTTAAATTATTCAGTAAAATTTCAAGTAATTCTTAATTAATATAATTAATGATTAATATTAAATTATTACTTAATAAGTAATTAGTTTAACAATATTTTATCACGATAATCAAGTTCAATTATGTTTTTTTCCTAACAAACAACAAAAATTTTTAATTCCTGAAAAAAGTTGTCAAATTGTTTGATAGGATTTAATTGAATTTATTAAATCAATTACCAATTTAACCCACTCCAAGATTTACTAAATCGAGATTTACAAAATTTACTAAATCCTACTAACTTACATCTAATCCATTGTCATACAAGTTCCTAAATTTTCTCAAAAGACAGATTGAAACAAGTAAAATAAAATATTCATTCATGGCCAAAGATCCACTACCATAACAAAGCAGAACGACTTGAAAATATAGTCTGCAACACAAGCTAAATCAGAAGATAAAGATGGAAGAACAAGAAAACCATTAAACACGATGTACTCACTATTTCCAGACGGGTGGAAGCTTCTTCGTTCTCTTGTAGTAACGAGCCAAACGATGGATCCTGCTCTCCACAAGGATAAGCCGGAACTTCGAGTCCTTATCCTTCCTGTTCCTTTCCAAGTGCTTTCGGATAGCAACAGCCTTTTTTATCAAATGATACAGATCCTCCGGAATCTCAGGTGCAAGACCTACAGAAAGTCTCAGTAAACAAGGGCTAAAAAACAATGGGGAGCCCTAAACTCATAAACAAAACCACAGAAATGTAGAAGTCTATACCATGAGCTTTGAGAATCCTGAGAATCTTGCTTCCAGTCAAGCTCTTCACCTGCGCAATACCATGCGAGTCACGAAGAATGACACCTATCTGAGACGGCGTCAAACCCTTCTTCGCAAACTTGCAAATGTTTTCTTCCACATCCTGGGAAGAGGTTTTGAGCCAACTTGGGGGAGTTCTCTTATAAGGAAGAGTGGAAGAGGAAATGCACTTACCACGGCTATGCATAAAGATCGAAAGAATGAAAGAAATTAAATTTACAGCTAGCAAAGGGAAAACGATCTGGGGATAGATGAGAAATGAGCAGCTACCCGCGGCTATGCATACGACCCATGGTTGTAGTAGTGGCGGCAGCGTACGGAGATTTCAACGGCTAACGTTGCTGCTGGCGGCCTTACCTGCGTTCTTCGCAGCAGGAATCACGAAGAAAACACTGCTAGGGTTTGGGATATAGAGCGAAGGAAGAACGATAAAAATACAGCGAAATATCCCGATTTTTTTATTTTGTCGGGAATTTTGTGAGCCTCAAACATCACCTTTTACAAATTATGTCTTCATTTGTAAATATCCTAAAAGTAATGGGGATATTCACATGGCAACAGCCTAAAACATATATAATTATTTTTTAAATATCCCAATCCTAATATTTGGTCTAATGTAATTGTGTTCTCTTGAGGGCGTGATAGCTTTCCTTGAGGTGTATATCCAACTTATCTTGGAGATTACAGTTTGATTAAGAAGGATGATCATTTTTATTGAAATAGAGCAGAAGGCATTTGATGATATTAAGCATTTTCTTTTAAGCCCTCTAGTGTTGAAAGCTCCCATACCGAGGAAGTCTCCTTTTTTTTATTATGGTGTTGGATGAGTCAATTGGAGCACTATTGGTTCAAGCCAATGATAAGAAAAAAAAAAGAACGTCTTGTACTGTCTTAGTTGGTGTCTTATCCACACCGAATTGGGATATTAGTTGATAAAAAAACATGGCTTGGCTTGGTGTCTTATCCACACCGAATTGGGATATTAGTTGATAAAAAAAACATAGCTTGGCGTTGATTTTCATGGTTCAAAAGATGAAGCATTATATATTGTCTCATCGCATCAATCTGATCCCAATGGTTAATCCCTTGCAGTATTTGATGACTCATCTCACCTTGGAATGACAATTGGCCAAATGGGCCATCATACTTCTTTGGTATATATCACATTTGTGTCACAACATGCTTTAGAGGATTTCCTAGTTACTCACCCTATACCAAGCTAACTTGTCAGTTAACAATGTCTTTTTGCACAAGCATATACTATAGCTGGACTCCTCAAAGTGGGAATTATATTTTGATGGTGTGTCCTCTTTAAAGGAAGGCCCTTTCGGGATTATCGCTTGTGTTAAGGTAAGGACTAGCCTTGTATTTTTATCTCCCGAGCAAGGTATCCTTCGCTATCCCTATAGTTTGGTAGAGCCTCAAACTAATAATGAGGTGGAGCATGCAGCACTAATCCTAGGATTGGAGATCTCCATTCAAATGAACATGAGGAAAATTTATGGGGATTTTTAACTCGTGATAAGCCAAGTAACGAGTGGCTATAACGTGTTAAAATCCAAACTCTTGAGCAATCACCACAGAGTTCTATCTTTACTGGCCCATATTCTCAATGTGACCCTATTTGGATCTCACGATCGATGAATAGGAAGGCAAACACTTTAGCTCGTTTTGCCACAGAATTGACTAGCCCCAATAGGAACCCCATGGCAGTATTGTTCTAAGATCAACAGATCCTATCGCCGGCCCTCTTAAATTTACTCGTAATGTTACCTTTAGACACACACAATGAGGATTTGACTGCCTCTGTTAGCCAAATTCATGATTGAGAGCAAGAATTTATTAACTACTTAGTCAAGGGTAGGCTCCCGGATGATTTTTCGTTAGATGCACAACTCCAGAGGAGAGCCTTATCGTTCACTATCATGAACAACATGTTAAATTAATGTTCTCCTAAAGGAATGGACTCTATCATGGCTTATCTTGAGCGTGTCAAGTGTTAACAAGATATGTTGGCCCATTTGCGTGGAAAAGTCTACGAGAGGTGGGAAAAGTGCTTCAACATTCTCCTCACGTTCATAGTCCGACAAGTCAGATGAGCGGGACAACAAATTGTGTTGCCATAGGAAGCGAATGGTTGCGGGATGCTTAAGGTATATGCAACACCCTAATATTTTATTGTTATTATTTTGTATTTCCCTATCTATTTAGATGAAAGGATGCATGTTTTGATATGTCATATGTGTGATAAATTTTGTGTTTTCTCTTTCTCACAGTTTTTACTATTGGAGCACCTTGAAATCAAGTTAGTCGTTATATTGTGATTTTCATGGGCCATAGAGTGCAGTCAGTAATGGTCATCACGATGGCACCGTAATGCCTAGTCCAACATCATTATAAAAGCTAAAATTGTATTTGTCACTTCATCAGCACAGTGGTACCATATCCAACATTACAATGTCAATATTTACAACCATAATGATGTTCACTGATGTGGCGCCAACCGTTTCAATAGTGCCCTAGCATTGTTCCTAGAGTCATGGTGCCCATACATATATAGGTTATACCCTGAACTATGCTCCTTATTTTTTCAACTAAGATGTAATTTAATAAATCAACAGTATGTTGGTGTCTTTTTCAATTTGTTTTTGTTAACATGTTTGGTGTTGTCTTAATTTTTAACTGAAAAATAACATGAATGAGTAACATTAAACGATCATTTTTTTCAGATTTATTGCTTTAGAAAAACTAGGTCTTCAAAACATCTTAAATGAAAAGAAAAAAAAATTACCTAAACTGATATAATAATTCTCATGGGAAAAGAAAAATAAAATAAAAAAGAAAAGAAATAGAAAAAGAGAAAAAGAAGAAAAAGTAAGAGTAAAAAGTGAAAAGCCGTGAGAAGAAACATGAGATTGACATGAAAAATTGAAAGAAGTAAAACAGGGAAGGTCACTAGTAAAACTTATGTGATAAGATTTTCTTACGATTCTTTAATGTAACCCATCTAATATTTTCTTTCAAAAAAATGTTTAGGATTAGGTTGGCAAAAAGAGAGGATTTTGGAGAGCAAAAAGAGAGGATTTTGGAGAGTTTGTCCTTAGGATTCTCCTCTTCTCTTCTGTTTGAGGTGCTAAGGGTATTTTCTACCTTTTAATTTGTACTTTCTTACATATTCTGAGAGGTTTATTGCATGAGAGAGGAGTTGGCTACTGTAAAAGAGAGAATGGATTATTTTTTAAGTTTTTACTTTTTAGTTTTACTTGCAATGATGATTTCAATGGAATATTTTTCTTGCAATTTTTTCAACATACACAACTAAATTTCCCTTCGTGCCTCTGGGATTCATGGTATGCCATTTTTGTGGTTTTCTTGAATAAATTTTTTCCCTATATCATTTTTCTCAGGAAGTAGAGCTTTTCGTTGTTGCGTTTACCATATAGTTCCATTTACTCCTCATCTTAACAATTAGGTTGTTAATATATTTTGTGATCAATGACTCTTTCCTGTTGCGCTGAGAAATGAAACAGTTAACCACAAAATCCAGGTCATAAAAGAGATATTTTATCCAGAATTTCCAACCTAAAAAGGGGACCAAAATAAATTTGTTAGATTCCATGGGGATTGAAGAAACTTCAACTTCATAGATTCTTGCCTTCTTTTGATCTAGGCATATGCATAAGGAGGACTTTTTATCCCCTTTGACAACTATCATGTAGGGGAAAGACTTAGAAAATCATGAACCATCACATTACCTAAATCATAAGGGGTGCGAGCTTTACATACCTTGAAGAACAACAAGATTTATTTGTCATTGTTTTCTATATTTTCTAACCCTGTTATCTTTTATTGACACTTTTAAGTAGGATTTTCAAAAATAACCTCTTGTTTGTGATCACATTAAACTAGGTTTAGAGGTATAGTAAACTAGAGATTCACCCTTAAAAATAATTCTCAACACTTTCCTCATAGGATTGATACACTGTACTCTTTAACTGTATTATTACTTAACACAAATACTTGTGTGATTTGGCCAACTTGCTCCAATGTAACTTTTTAAGTCTTCATAACCTCCCCTCTTATATCTCCTGAAGGTAAGTATAAGACTTACTTTGGGGAAGTGATAAGGATCTCATTGGGGAATATATAATGTCTTTCTCTCCCAAGGAAGAAAGGGACTTTAAAAGTTTTGTTTTCCAATACCTAGCCAAAAATGGCTAAGAGGTAGAATTATGTATTCACTTCTCATATCTTTTATTAGAAATTATATGACTCACTCGAGAGATCACATTTTAGATTTTGTTAAAACGACTAGCCAAAATTGGTTTAATTAGATGATGATCACCTGAGTGGCTGTTTTATTCTTAGGCAACATAATTGAAAAAATCTTGTAATTGAAGATGATTACAAAAACAACTATTTGTCTTGGTGGTCCAGACTTAGCTTCCGAGCTACTCTGAGGCATAACCATATGAAGTATGAGTGCTTCTCTAATATTTCTAGAGGGTTAATGTGTGACTCAATCTGGTGAATAAGAGGTTTAAGAGCTTCTTTTTTGCATCTCCTATAGTACATAGGTGACTCATTGTGGAGAATTCAACCCATCCAAAACTTTGTTATATAATAAATTAAGAAAAGAGCTGGGTTTTGGTACTCCTGACACAACCAAACTAGCTAAACTAGATGATATATGTTTTGGTTTTTCAGACCCGACTAAAAAGCTAAACCAAGGAGGGATAGAGAAATATAAACTCTCCTTTAGTATTCTCAAAAGTTGAGATGTGACTCACACTAGGAAATATATTGAAAGTGTTGCTTTTCCATAAAAGAGAAAGGTGTATTAGATTTTGTTTACTTCAACACAACCAAAATTAGCTAAATCAAGGAAGAAGGCATATGAAATTTCCCTTTCTTATCTCCCTTAATGGCACGTATATGCCTTACACTAAGGTTATCGTAAATCAAATTGACTATAAAATTACATATGTCAATCCAATAGGTGACCCTCTCAAGGGACACATAGATTTGGATTTTGTTAACCCAGACCCAATCAAATTTGGCTAAACCACAAAGAAGCTCATTTGAATAGTCATTCTAACTTTAATTGATTTAATTAGCTTCTCACAAATCTTCCCAATGATGGGATGATTGTATCTTAAAACCTAGAAGGGGTGGTCTGGATTTAAC